AACTCCCATAATGCCGACCTCACAACTGCTTTGCCATCAGATGGACTCTTCAGGTATCCATTCTGTGAATATATTATGCCATCTAATACATTTGTCTGTGTCAAGAGTAAAAGACCCACAGGAAAGTGGGGGGCGGAAGCAGGAAGGAAGTTTTTGCCACTGTCCTAGCTTGTTTTTCTGTTAGATTTCCATTTTAGCAATCTCATGGTATAAAAACAAAGACAATGAAACTTTCCATAATAGTTCCGATACACATTCTTTCTATTATATGAAATGAAACATGGCTACTGCCAGAGGGAATTTTAAAGTCATGCACAAAATTATTAATATGTGGGTGTTTCAATTTATAAGGGAGCCATCTAAATATAAACCTGGTTTCTAACATGACCACATCAGCTGAATGCTCCTGGGTATAATGTTTTAACCAGTCACCTGTGCAGGGTGTTTGTTCTACCCGTGTGATGGATGTTCCTGTGTATGCATCTAGTGCACGTGTCTGAGGAAGGCTCTAGACAAAGTCCCAGGAGTAGAATTCCTAAGCAAAAGGATATGTATATTTTAAATTTTGATGCCTGTTTCCCTAGGCCCAGAAAGGGAGTACCAATTTATGTTCTCAGCACTTTTTTTATTTTTTTTGTTTTTTGGAGACAGAGTCTCAAGCTGTTGCCCTGGGTAGAGTGCTGTGGTATCATAGCTCACAGCAACCTCCACTCTTGCACTCAAGCAGTCCTCTTGCCTCAGTTTTTTTATTTTTAGTAGAGACAGGGTCTTGCTTTTTCTCAGGCTGGTCTCAAACTCCTGTGCTCAGGCAATCCACTCCCCTTGGCCTCCTAGAGTGCTAGGATTACAGGCGTGAGCCATCACACCCAGCCTTTTTATTTATTTATTTTTTGAGACTGTCACCCTAAGCTAGAGTACTGTGGCCTCAGCCTACTGAGTAGTTGGGAGTAGAGGCACCTGCCATGATGTCCAGCTAGGTCTTCTATATTTTTAGTAGAGACAGGGTCTCACTCTTGCTCAAGCTGGTCTTGAACTCATAAGCTTAGCCAATCCACTTGCGTTGGCCTCCTAGAGTGCTAGGATTACAGGTGTGAGCCACCACACCCAGCCACTCTCCACCTTTTTTTTTGAAAGACAAACATACATAAGTCCCAACCAGTACAGCAAGACGTCCTAAGGCTGCTCTTGCTAGGCACCCTGTCCTGTTGGATGGAGGACCGGCACCTGCCTTCCCCTGTGGGTCATCTAATGTAGCCAGTGGGGACCTCAACTGTTGGCACGAACTCAATGGCACATCACAATCCTTTCTGAAAGATTCCATGTTAATTGCTCCTGATCCACAAAATAATGTTGTTTTGAACCACTTAAATTTCTTGTTGGTGATGAGGTCTTATGTTTGTCAGGTTTGGTTTTCAATAAATTAGATTCAGTGCTGGCTCAAGCAGGGCACACCTCACTTACATTCACATAAGCTTTTCTCAGTAGAAGGAAAGAGCTGGAATGACAACTTGTGGCTGTATTTCATGTCAGTGGTTATTGCTAAAGCATCATTTTAATTATAGAGCTTGTAGAATAGTCCAAATATTCGTTGCTTGTGGTATTCTTTTTTGACTTTGTCAAAATTTGGGCATGCCTAAGGGAGTTTATTGTTGTGTCACCACCATCAGTTACATGAGCCATGGTGGACAAAATTGAGACTCTCTGGTGTATAATCCTCGTGTTCTTCCAAGCTGGAAATGGTCCGGCAGTGTTTATGCATAATCCTTTGACATGTATCTCAATACTCAAAGGGGGAAGAAAAGACTGAAAAAAATCCTTGCTGGCTACAGAGATAAAATTAATTGTTCTATTTTTCAAACTAAATTGTTCTTTTCTGTTTTAATAAGAAAAATATGTCACTCTACCTGGACATCCAGGGCTACCTGGCTCACCCTTTGGACCAGGTGGACCACATTGACTGGCAGGGTCACCTTTGTTTCCTGTAAGTGATAAACCGCATGTAACCTTATTTAAGAAAATAAAATTTGGTTTCATACAAGTTACTTAATAACTTTCATGATATCTGTCTTTATAGTCCATCTTCAAACATTTCAGGAGAATATTTTTAACATTTTTTTTCTTAAACAAAGACAAACATATAGATGCAAGACATGATTTAAAGACGACATCCATATACATAACACACAGAATTTTATACTTCACAACAGTCATAAGCACATGTAAGTCTTGATAAATTTGAGTTCTTAAGTCCCTAAAAAATTTTCAGGTTTAGGTTTCTATTTAAGAAATATTACTGGGCACTAGGTGACTAGCTCCTTATATCATGTTTTAGAAACAAAAGGCAGAAATTGTCACTATTTCAGCTGTTGCAATCAGACTCTCTTCAGAGTCTTTCAGACTCTCTTATAAAGGAAGCTGAAATCAGTGTCCTTGTCAAAATAAAATCACAAAGGCATGCTTTGTCGATGACTTGATAAGAGATGGCACATTTGAGAGCCACCATAGGTGGTGACTCCAACAGTCCCACAAAGCTGTTGGCCACTGCTGCAAAATGCTTGGGACGCACATTATACTCGGGAGGTGGTTCCCGGACCTCCCCGTTGGGGACTGAAAATGGAGTGGGAGGGCAGGGCAAGACAACAGAGGGAGGTACAAGTGAGTGAGGAAGGTGCATTAGGCCCGTCTTACAGCACCTGCCCACTAAAAGCCGCAGCTAAGGGGTCCCATCTGCACCCTGTGGCGGCATCTCTCCCACCTGATCCTACTTATAATCACAGTTAATTGATTGAGGGGTAGGAATGTGGCTGATTCCAGGCCAGCCGATCTTCCTTTGAGAAGTTAGAATGAAAAAGTGAGAATTTGAAGTCCTTGGCTATTGGAGCAGAAATCTATTATGTTTCCGAAGAAACATAATAAGGGTAAAATATCAGTCCTGTTACAAGGCAACATAACTTCTGGCACAAGCCTGTCTGCAGCCTGTTTTGTAAATAAAGTTTTATTGGAACACAGCCAGGCCCCTTGAGTTTATATGGTCTATGACAGCTTTCATGCTAGAACAACACAACTGTAGTTATGACTGAGATCACATGACTCACAAGCTAAAAATTTTTATTATCTGGCCCTTTGGGGGGCGAAAAGTATCTTGCTGACTTTGGCTTATGGTAAAAATAAGCCCACTTGTAAATGACATCTAGCTTGGGACTTTGGGTGAACTCTTAACACCTGGTGGGAAGTCATGGCCTCTGTGTCCTGTGATACTTGTGGGTGAGACTCTAAAAGCTGAACCCATGGAATCATTGGTGATACAGAATTGTAGAGGGACAAGGAATTTCAAAGCCAAGGTGGACGCTGACCACTTACACCTGAGTGGTTACTGAGGGCTGCGGTCAGTCCACGCACTGAGGAGGAAGGCTGAGTCGCCCGCAGGCGTGCTGTTTTCTGTCTGGAGCTCTTGGATCTGAGGGGCAAATGTGGACCAAAGGGGTCTTGACTAGTTGGCTGTCTAGTAGATTCTAAGAAGAGCCCCGTGGATGTGCTAGTTTCTTTGATGCACTTCACTTATCATGCAGGTGTGCTCAGTGTTACAGATACCCAGGCTGTGCCTCTGACAGGTGGCTGCCGGGTATCCAAGCCGTACCTTTAGGTCCCCTTGCTCCATCAATTCCTGAAAATCCAGGGGGGCCTGGAAAGCCCGGCTCACCCTGACAACGTAATGAAGCAGAAGACTTTAATCAGATTTCAAATACAAATGCCACATGCATGACATGACCCAGTTATAACTTTCTGTAACCAATTTGGTTTTCAGAATTTGTAGTACTAATGAAAATTGAAGTGCATTACAAGCAGCCTACTACACATGCCGAGGTTTTAAAAGTTGGTAAAATCCTGGCATCAGCGATACCAGGAGCAGCAGTTAGTGTCCCACTCCCCATACTTGGTTTTAAAACACTAATTACAGTATGTAATTTGAAATTTAATTTTTTTTTTTTTGCAGTTTTTGGCTGGGGCTGGGTTTGAACCTGCCACCTCCGGCATATGGGGCTGGCGCCCTACTCCTTTGAGCCACAGGTGCTGGCCTGAAATTTAAATTTTTAATGGACAAGTTGATACTACATAAAATATTATTAGAAGTCATATCACACTAAAGACTTTAAAAATCTATTTTATTCCAAAAGATAAATAGTGAATTATATCATACATTTTCCCAGAAGTATAGTGTGGGCTCCTCTATGTGTTGTTACTTCCTGGTTTTCAAGGGGTATTTTACTCATGATTGTGAAGATAAAATAAATATATTTAAAGAAAAATCTGTGATATCTGTGGATGGAACTGGAGACCATTAGGGGAAGTGAAAGAAACCAAACACAGAAAGACGGATCTCACATATTCTCACTCATATGTGGCAGCTAAATATTAAAAACAATTCATCTCATGGATACAAAGGATGGAATGAAGGTTACCAGAGGGTGAGAAGGATAATACCCCTTGAGAAGCCAGGAAATACAATCAATGTAGGAGCCCACACTGGACTTCTGGGAAAATGTATGATATAATTCATCATTTATCTCTTGGAATAAAATGGATTTGTAAAGTCTTCAGTGTGACAGGACTGCTAATAATATCAGAGGGGGAGATAAAGTGGAGATGGTTAATGGTTACAAAAGTACAGTTGGACATTTAAATAGAATGAACAACAAAGCAACGACAATCAATAAAAAGTTGGGGTGCACTTTAACTAAAATAGTGAAACTGGAATATTCCTGACAGAGAAATACCTGAGGGGGTGAATATTCCAACTAACTCTGATGTGATTAATACACATTGTATGCCTATATTAAAAATCAACTATTATATACTCCTGATAATCTAAAAAAAGTCTATGGTATCCTTGGAAAAGAAGGCTTAGAAAACAGAATTCGGGTGATTTCATTCCAGTAAATCAGCAGACACGAGGCAAGTGTGTACGGAGTTGTCTAAGCCAGGCTGGGACACGGGGACTACCCCCTGGTGAAATGTGAGGGGAACCAGGTGTGAGCACTGGTCAGAAACTTCAGTTACATCACAGCCTTCTAGAAGACTCCATGCTCCCCTTGTGCCGCCCCTTGTATTCTAAAACCCAGTGACAGAGCAATGCCATACACACAAGTTCTGACTCCTTACAGACGTCCTAAGAACAGAAAGGTTTTATTATTTCTTCCCTCATGAGCCAGTAGCCCCTTACCTGGTCACCCGGATATCCTGGAAAACCAATGATTCCTCTTATTCCAGGTGAGCCTGGGGGCCCTGGGGGTCCGGGAGGGCCTGGCTGTCCATCTTCACCAGGTTCCCCCTTGTGGATTCCCGGAGGTCCAGCCCTTCCCGGCTCTCCTCTTCCTCCCGGCACACCGGGACTTCCTCTGTCACCTGAGGAGGGTGGAGGTGTTACTGAGCCTTTGCTGAAATATCAAGCTAGGCAATGGGTAGGCTCAGGAACTTGCTCCGACTTTTATGAGAAGAAACCAAGAGTCTGGGGAATCCTGATTCCCGCCCTCGGGGGCTTCACTCTGACCTCAGTGTCCTCACTGTGGAAGAAGCTGCTATGGGCACATTCTGAGTTATCAGAGGGAGGAGGGAGCTTAGAGGGCCATCAGCTTCAACACACTCCTTTTACAAGTAAGGAAAAGCTTACCCAGAAAAGTTAAAACATTTGTCCCCTAACAACAAGTTGAAGGGAGAGCTAAGAACCCAGGTTGCCTGCAGCCTAGGTCTGAACTTGGGGAGAACACAAGCATGGCAGTCAAAGTCCTTGCTATGCTGTGTTTCCATGGACCGTCACTCGGGTGCTGGGACACCTGTGGCTGCCAGACCTGCAGATTCAGAATCTGCAGGTTAACAAGACTCCGAGGGGATTCAGGTGTGCACTGAAGGTGTCAGGATACCGTGGGGTTGATTGTGCTATTCATCTTAGAACCAACTACCTCAAATGGGTACTTCAGACCTGGAACCAGTATTTCATGGAAGGCTCAGGTTGATTCAAGTGTAGAATATCCAAATCTACAGATGCACATGAACTTCAGCTAAGTTTTAGCATGGAAAAGCCAAAATGTACCAGGAGGGTCATTAGTGCACATTTACCTCTAAAAATGGCTTTTCCTAATCTCAGCGTTGTTAGGAAAGTGGCCTAATATATACACTTGCCCGAGAGACCTGAAAGATGTCAATGTATTTGGTGTGCCTGAGAATGGTAAGTGTTTACCTCTTTCTCCGGGGAATCCATCATCTCCAGGAGGTCCGGGCTCCCCGGGTTTCCCCTTTTTAGAAATGATCGCCATTTCTCCTTCATCTCCAGGAGGGCCCCTTTCCCCTTTAGATATAAATTATGTGACAATGAAACAAACACACCTGGAATTTGTTCTCACACTTCACTTCCAGTTTATAAGCTCTGCATGCAGCTTCCTAAGCTGTATTTATGTTTATCACTGCACAACATCAACATCATTGACCAAGGAAGGGCAGTGCCTGCACACTCCTGTCTCCACCTGTCCAGCCACCATGTCTGGGGTTCTGTGAAGGCCTGTTGAGTGTTTGCTAAATTCCACCAAACTGGTCAGAGTCTTTAGTGAGTTAAGACAGGTTTGAAAAAGTTCTGGTCTACAAATTGTCTCCTTTTTTTTTTTTTTGAGACAGAGTCTCACTTTGTCACCCTGGGTAGAGCACCACGGCACCATAGCTCACAGCAACATCAAACTCTTGGGCTCAAGTGCTTCTCTTGCCTCAGCCTCCTGAGTAGCTGTAACTACAGGTGCCTGCCACAACACCTGGCTATTTTCAGAGATGGGGTCTCACTCTTGCTCAGGCTGGTCTTGAACCTGTGAGCTCAGGAAATCCACCTGGCTCAGCCTCCCAGAGTACTAGGATTACAGGCGTGAGCCACCATGCCTGGCCCCAGAATTGTCTCCTTATCTTATAAAACTTGAATTGCCCATCTTATATTTCCAGTTCCATATCTTCCCCTTCCTAGCCACCCTCTCTTCCCTTCCTTTCATTAAAAAAACACACACACTTAACATGGTTCTCCATGTACAAATGTCCAAAAGGTGGGAAGGGCACGCTATCTTCCTGCCTGATTTCATCAACACTGGAATGAGCTCATCCCAGCTGGGCAGGAGCTAATTATTATTAATTCAAGACTTGAGCAAGCCAGTTACTAAACCATTGGTAACTTTAAGTCAGCCATGCTGGAGTATTTATGTGATGGTGGGAGTGTTTACACCACAGCAATTGGCAGACACTACAAATCAGGGCTTTGTTTGTTTGTCTGTTGTTTTTGGATCTCAAAGAACTAGTTTACTAGCACATCACTGGCATTAATCCAATTTTTAATTTTTAGTGGGATAATTGTATGGCAGCATAATAACACAGCAAACATCACTTCTCTAAGCTAGCAAAGAATGACTCTTGGATTCTTTGATTCTACATAAATAATTTATAAGCTAGTAAAACAAAAAATAATAGTAGAATCAATCAGCTCACAAGAAAAGGTAATTTGTATTAAATATGAGACTATTTGCCCAAAAGGCTCTAAGGGCAAAAATCCTTGTTTCCAAAAATTGTCAAGCTTTTTCTTCTCAACATTGGAAATGAAATGTCACCTTCACCCACTGTAGCCTCAGGGCTAAGGGGTAAGAGTAAGCATTTACCAAAGATGGGCACACAACCTTTAGAGTAGTAATCTCGAAACTTCTATTTTTATAGTAAGGAATACTCTTTCTTTAAAACTTGAGGGAAACTCAATTCCTGGCCCAGATGAAAGTGGGTTTCCATTTTGTAATTCAGAGGTTGCGAACTACAGAGCATAGGGCAAATCCCTCCTGCTGCCAGTTTTTATACAATACGTGAGATATGAATGGTTTTTATGCTTTTAAATGGCTAAGGAGGGGAACTCAAAACAAGATTATATTTGGTGATGTGAAAATTATGTGAAATTCAAATTTTAGTCTCCATAAAAAATTTTTGTTGAAAATTTTAATTTTTTGTTTATTTATGTGTTATCTGTGGCTGCTTTCATGCTACAAAGCCAGCTTGACTAATGTGACCGAGATTAAATGGCTTGCAAAGCCTGAAATAGTTACTAGCAGGCTCTTCCCAGAAAAAGTTTACCAACCCCTGTTCTAATAGAGTTTTGGGGGACAAGAGCCCTGTCTGTACACCCTTCCCAAGAGGAAAGAAAGTTCTCTGGAACCCCAAAATTATGAACCAATGCATTAAGTACCACTTATTAATTTTTTTTCCATTAATAGAGCAATTCATCTGCCATAGTTATAAGGAAGAAGACTGCGGGGTAAAGAAAACTAATTTTCTTTAAAATTCTAAAAAAGCACCATAGAACTAATTAAAGAAAGAGGAATCCAAGCTGCACAATAGTTCCATTTGATTTTCAGCAGATATTTATAAATTCTGATCAAATACTGCAAACAAAGGTAAGTCGCATCTCTGTGCAGCCTCTCACCTTTGGCACCTCTTATCCCCGGGTCTCCCGGAAAGCCAGGCCAGCCCATCCCTCCACGTTCGCCCTTTTGGCCTGGCTGCCCATCTGGGCCCGGCTTTCCTCTCTCTCCAGGAAAACCCTGGAAACCAGGCAGCCCCTGGAGTCCTGAGGAAACAAAAAGATAATTTTTTAGGAAAACATTTTAAAGGCTAGTATGGTTTTGGTATCTTCGATGTTCCTTGTAGTTCCCTCCGATGCAAACCCCTGCCTAACTCTGAGATTGTATCAAAAGTAAACAACAGGTGTCAATCTCATTGCATTGAGAAGCTAGGCTCTGCTGCCCAGGCCTCAGTTTCCTACCCTGAGGCCCTGATGTGTGTGGGTCCTGATCTCCAAACACTGTAAGACAGGGTTTTCCAACCTTTTTTATCTCAAGGCACATTTGAACCTGTAGGTAAACTTCCACAGCACCCTTAAATTATGTTGATCAAGAAAAGAGTAAAAAAAAGAATATTATGCTTTGAACTTCTTTCAAAAATAATTTAATTAGTGAGCTTTAAAGATTCTCGTGGCACACTGGTTGAAAATCACTGCTTCAAGAAGAGAGGAGTGGGGCTGGGGTGGGGACACCCAAAGCAAAATTCTGTGACCCCAGACCTGAGGACTTTGCCTGTGCTCCCAGGGCTTTGAGCTGAAGTGTTACGGGCTCTGTGCACCTGACACCCCCAACCCCTTCTCCTACCAATTTGACCAAAACAGCCTGCCACTGGGAACAGCAACGCAGAGGACAAGAAGAAGGGAAGTGTCCCTGAGGGAAGGACAAAGTCAGACAACGCTGATCTCTGTTAGTGTGGTCACAGCAGGCTTCCCGGGCAGTGGATTACATGTTTATAAAACAGGAGGAAATAACGGAGAAGCACCACCTACCCTTAGGGCCTGGAAAACCAGGGAATCCGGCGTCCCCAGTGGGGCCTGGGATTCCTGGCGGTCCTGGGAGTCCACCTGCCCCGGGCAGTCCCGGGAATCCAGGGAGGCCCTTCATTCCAGCTGGTCCAGGGGGGCCCATGTCTCCTGGCTGTCCTTTCCTACCCGGGGTACCTGTGACAAACCATAGAGACAACAGTATGTAAAGAACCCTGGCTTCACACACAGGCAGGAAAAGAGCCCTCTCCGTAGCTTTGAAGATGAGATTAAAGAAGCAAAACTCTTATATCAGCTGAAATAACAGCAGCAACTTGCCATCAGTCTAAGGATGTACTTTTCTGGATGGATAAAAAGAAGGATCGATTCACTTGAACAAATGTTTCCCAATAGGGATGAAGGAAGATTATGAAGAAGTGTTTTTCTATGTCCTCGAGTTGTTTATTGAGGATTATGAACAATTTTTAAATGGAAAATAGGTAGGGATGAAGAACACAAGTTTTATTTGTATTTACTCTTTGGGGGGGGGTGGGGTAGGTTACTAACAGAAGAAAACTTTCCAGATGCTTCTGAAGCTCTGGCCGAGTGACCTTCTGCCAAACTATCACTTATGACAAGAGAATTATAGAAATCCGAGAAACATCATCTAGTGTTATTAGTGCTGGAAATATGGCTGTAGGGACAAGTTCTGCCTCAATATGGTTTTAATTGGGTATACTCCTACATTTGGATAAAAGCAATAGAATTTAAATGATAGAGCTGACAATCTGAATAGAAGAATGAAGATCCTATTGGAAATAGCTCCAGCTGTGGTCTGAAATGGCCGCTCAAAATTCATATATTGGAACTTAATCACCAATGTGTCAGTCTTTAGAGGTGCGGCCTTTATCAGTGAGATTATAAATAAAATCGATGGCCTTAAACATGAAAAGTGAAAGAGCTGTTTGCCCTTTTCTGTGAGGACACACAGAAGGTGCCATCTATAAGAAACAGGTCTTCACCAGACACCAAATCTGCTGCTGCCTTGATCTTGGACTTCCCAGGCTCCTAATAGTGAAAAATAAACCTCCGTTGCTTATGGATCACCCTGTCTGAGGTTATTTTATTACAGCAGCCCAGGGGAGACACTCCCTCATGCACCTCATGCTGGGTTTGCCAAGAACACAAGGTCCTGGTGCTTTTTACCAGCTAATTTTGCAGCAAGCAACCTTGACAAAGGATGTAGAGCTTCCCACAACACAGAAAGCAGGCTTTCTCGAAAGCTGCTAGAAGGTGGTAGCTTGCGGGATCAGGGCATCCTCTCAGGTGATGTGACTCACTGTGCCTGTGGTAGCCAGTTAGTTCCTCTTAACATGGCCCCGTGGGACATGGGTGATGAGGAAATGATTCAAACCAGCATGAAGCTTGGGAGTAATAAAGTTCATTGTCTCTGACCCAAGACTCTTGCTTCCAACATCCATAGAAGAACAAGAGGTGGGCTCATCGATTCATAAATAGGGTCAATCCCAGTGCTTTCCTGGTTCGTGACACCTGCTGACACTTACCTGGGCTACCTGGAGCCCCAGGGAGTCCTGGGTGCCCTGGTGTCCCTGGAGCACCTCTTCCACAGGAATGGCCGGGTGGACCTGGGATACCTGGAAACCCAGTGCTCCCCTCTCTGCCTTTGGGACCTTTGAGACCTGGGAGTCCGGGAACACCAGGTGGCCCTGAAATGATACAATGTGCTCATGACCTTCATGGCAGAAAACTACACAGATGGCCTACAGCAAACTGCTCCTGTCCCTCAATACTGGAAATGAACATCTTGATACTGAATCAGTGCTCAAATGGGTTCACTCTCTGACTGGATTTTCTTATCATAGATGTCGTGAGCACCAAATGAGTGGGAAAACCATGCATTGCCGTGTTGCTGGATAAGGCTGTGTGGACTACAAGGAAGTTGCCTACACAAAGAAGAAATCACTTGGCTCTTCCCGATTTTAATTAACCTCCACCTTTGCATCCGGCTTTACCCCACATTTCCACAAGACTTACAAACCAGTTCACACTGGAGCAATTTGCGTTGTGTAAGAGATTTTATTGCTTGTACTCTCAAATTTCTATTTGTTGAAAAGTTATTGTCATCATCTTCAGAAAGAAAAATAAATCAGCCATAATTCTACCCCCTAACCTCCCAATATACTTTCTTTTCCTGTTTTCTTTGTGGTTCGGTTCATATGTTTACATCTAAACAGCAGTGACGAGTCACAGTGCAACTCAGATGTTGAGTTATTTCAGATTGCAAATTCTTCTGCATATGTTTTTGATTTTTGTTGCAATCTTGACAAATATGTTAATTGCTAATAGTTGAATAATATTCTTTTGACTGTGTGTGTCTATTACTTAACTCTCTGAGTTTCCATTTTTTTTTTTGTTGGTTTCCAATTATTACCTCTACTGTGGCTAATACTACAGAAGTTATTTTCATATCTACAACAGTCGAACACTCCCCTTACATGCATTTTCACAAGTGAGATAGTAGGTTTACTAGGTTACAATCGTTTTGATTGACTCACAAAATGTATTATCTCATTACTGTCCAAGTAACTGTTTCTTTGTAGGGGAATATTTTGATTTGCAAGCTCCGTGAGAGCAAAGATAGTGGCTAATCTCTCCTCCTTTCTATGTGCCTGGTACCAGTGTACTCCAGCGGACACCTAATCAATATTGGCACACCCACCACTAGCAACATGTTCACTAGAACAGTGTTTGCAGACATCCGGTCTGTGGTCACCTCTTGATCGCCATCACCCAGGGGTTCACTGACCTGGATAATGCTGGCCCCACCCAAGATGTAAAGAATCAGAATTCCTGAGACTGGGGTCCGAAAGACTGTCATTTTAATGATACCCTCCCCCACCCAGGGTTATTTTTAAGTTCATTAAAACCTAAGAAACTCGGCTGTGGATCCTGAAGAACCTTTAGTGATTTTAGAAAAGGACATGAGTCAGTCCCCGGCCATCTTCCCACCTTGCGTGTCACGTCTCTGCTGCTCCTCCAGCTGGAGTGAAAATCCCTCCACCTCGTCACCTGTGTTGCTACTCCAGCTGCAGTGAACATCCCTCCACCTCGTCACCTGTCCAAAGAGAGCTTGCCCTGCTCTCCCACCAGCCTTCCAGGACCTCGGCCCACACGGCCCCTAGCTGCCGAGCTACTCTCCTACCTACGATCTTTGTCCTGTCCACCTTCTACCTGGCACAGCAGTGGCAGGTTTCACAGTCCCTGCTCTGGGCATTTTGTGGTGCTAACAGTCTGCCCTGAGCCCAAAGCACACAGATCAATAATGCATAGGCAATACTGGGGACTTGGGTTATTGGAAATGTAACCAGTGTCTCTGTATGAGGGAAAACACTTGGATAAAATTTTTATATTCTACATACCTAAAGCAAGATAGTATAAACATTCTCAGTGACCTGTTCCCAAACTGAGCTGGCGTTGTGGGCCAGCAGAACTCTCATACCTTCAGCTCCTGGGCATCCTGGGTCACCTTTCTGGCCTTTTGTCCCTGGTACTCCTGAAGGACCCCTCTTTCCCGGGGGTCCTGGGTGACCAAATGCAGAGTCTCCTGGGATTCCTTTCTGGCCGTTCATTCCAGGTGACCCGGGAGGGCCTGGGGGCCCACTAGGGGAAGACCCCCTTTCACCTGGAAAGCCTGGATCTCCCGTGTCACCACGAAAACCTATTTTTAAAAAATTAAATTATTATATGTATAAGTACAGAAACAATGTATATGACTATTCTTTGATAAAAACACATTTCTAAAAAATACAGGGGTACTTACTAAAATTAAGAGCAGTTTTTAATAGGTAATTGTTTCAGCTACCACTTGAAGAGATGAATTGTAACTGTGTTTCTTATATAACTGTGTTTCCTATAAGCCAATGATGTTCCCCTAATCACTTTCATTCTCTAGCAAATATTCTGGCTGAGCAGTTTCAGCAACACAATAGGTAAATCACAGCATATAACTCATGATTCAAGCTGGAAGGAACCCTGGCATCTTATAAAATTATTATAATCTAAAAGTTATCACAAGACAGCTAAGGGTATAATGTAGCACGAAAAACCACTTCCCCATTCGGTAGAGATCCCTGGGCCATTTCCTTACTAAAGTCAGCATTTATAGAAATTTTCAAAAGTTCCTGATAGACATTCATTCCCAAAGCAGGAAAATCACTTCGCTCACCAGGTGGACCTGATATTTCCGATGTTCCTGGTCGGCCACGCCGCCCTTTTGGCCCATCTGAACCTTTCAGCCCAGGAGCTCCCCGGGAACCCGGAAATCCCTTTGGACCTAAACAATGACAGCAATAAGACACAGAGAAGACGTACATCAAATGAGAACCAAAGGAGATAATTTTTTAAAAGTCTACGTTAAGTCCTTTTTAGAATATTTCTACTTTACGGAAGTAAAGATGCTGCCTGTCTAGCTTCCAAAATCATTTTATGAGTCATATGCTCCGCAGAAGTTTTATGAAAAGTGGTTTGGTCAAGTCATTTTTTCAGAAACCCCTGGAAGCCTTTGGAACCTACACCAACCATCCAGATGACTTTCTGGGTACCTTCCCATGTTAGGTCACAAACACAACCATGTGTGCCTAATCTGTCCTTATAGGAGGATGGGGAGGTGGCCAGTGTCCACCATGATGAGTAAACAATACGTTAAAGGCCAAAATCTATTTCCTCGCATCTTACTACATTTGCTCTTAAGTGAAGTATTGGCAAAAAGGACCTGAGCAAAAGGAATTGAGATTTTATTTTAAAACTTCTGTGATTTCCTGTTAGGAGTTGTCTCAGCTAAGACACATAAATTGTGATTTTTTAACAAGGTACAACTGCTGATTTAGAGTTTGGGTATTCACTTTTCTCAAGAATACAGCTGCTTCAAATAATCAAACTTTGTTTTAAATCCACCTATGACAAGTTCCCCGTAAAATGAAAAATGAGCAATTCTTCACTCTGCTGATATAGAACTATGATTCTACACTCCTGCTAGTGTCTTGTACTAGGCAGGGTGACCTGGGGCATGGTCATGTGATATTTGCTTTGGCCAATGGGTTGTTGATGACCATGATGCAGTAAGGGGTGAAGGGAGCCTGGGAGCTGACCCTGCCCACTGGCATTGCTGCAGTCCCGTGAGAAGAGTACAAACAGGCCCAGCAGGGAGATGCAGGGTGCAGTTCTGAACCTGCGCAGGAGCCAGGGACCAAGACAATGAAAGGAAAACACGCTGGCCCAGCTGAACCCCACCCGCCCTGCATTCTTGTAAGAGAGAACATAAAGGTTTGTGTGTAGCACATGTGACATTATTGCCATGAAATTTAAAGGGAGAGAGGGGCAATGGAGTGGCATTCATCATTCAGCTTTTAAAGATTTTTTGTAGCTATGTGGGACAAGAAAGGTCACCTCTACTAGTGCTTAATGAGTCAGTTTAAGTGAACGCGGAAGAAATAAAGAATTAGGCAAAATCCCCTATAGAGGTTTTGAGTTTAATTCATCTAAAAATAAGTGGTTGATTCACATGATGCTGCTGCATGAGAGTGTGAGCATGTTTTGGAATGTTTCTGATCACAGGTTGGTTATCTCACCAAGTATTTCACAGAATAGAATACAACTTACAAATAACTAAGCAAATGATCGTTTTTCGCTCTTGGAACACGGGAAAAAGAAGAGAACATAATTTTAAAAATTCCAAGAAGCAAACATATTAATCAATACGCAACCAAATCAAGATAAATTTTCTTGTACAAAATTTTAAAAACCCATCGGGAGTGTGCTCAACCCATTAGTCTCAAGGCCCAATTGTGAATTTCTGCAAAGGCTGTTTTTCCTGAATCCTATAGTCCCTCAAAACCTCATAATAACTTTGGAAATATCCTAACGAGTCGTCTGAGGATGTGCTACTGGTTTAATCTGTCTTGCCAGTTCTTTTACCCAGGGAAGCATAGAAGACGGTAATTTTCGTTGATAATACCTGGAGGTCCATCGAAACCTGGAGGGCCCGGCCTCCCTGGATAGGTTACATTACAAGAAACCGTGTCGCCTGGAATGAAAAATAAAAGGGACATTCACATAACTGATGTGAAGTGAGTCTCAGTAACAGCTCACTCAAGGTATTTTTCCATATATGTTAGATTTTGTTGAGTCCTAAACCATGAATTTCAAACAATAAATGACAGAAAAGCAAACACCTAATCAAGTACCAAGGTGTTTGCTTTTCTGTGTTGTCCAAACAAGAACAAAGATATTACTTTATCCTCAAATTTCACAATTAATAATGTAGCAGCCCAAGGTATATGTACATATCATAAAAGAAAAACTTAAATAAAACCTTCTGAAAGTTTTCAGCTACAATCCTGAAAGTCATTTACTGGGTGAAATTCATATCTGTCAAATAGATTTAAAATACCTTCTTTTTTCTCCCTAGAATGCTTACAAATGGTTTTTCATGCACAATGACATTTTAAATGGGATGCTAGGTTTTTAAAATCAAAATACACATCATTATCTCCAAAGATCATTTTAAAAGACATGTGCTTTGAATACATATATATGTAATTTTAATACAGTCAGATTGTGTAAGTTCATTCTGAGAAATGAGTGAGCAGCAGTCTGGGTACCAAATAAAGCAACAAGGGTGTCTTAGCATTTGAAGGAATGTGTAGCAATACCGATTGTGCTGTAATGCTTGTGTCTGTTGCAGCAGGTGGAAAGTCTGAACAGAGGATGGGATTTTATTTAGCAGCTAACCCACAGCAACGTAGCCCAGAAGAGACTCACTTTACCTTCCATGAGTTCCCATGATGTTCTGCCACAGAAATATTCAAAATTACCTTTCTGACCCTTTAAGCCATCAGGGCCCCTCACACCCGGGCGGCCAGGGACACCAGGTTGACCTCTTTGTCCTGGTGGACCAGGAAATCCCAGTCCTGGGGACCCTACTGGTCCTGGTATGCCTGGGGGGCCTGGTGGCCCAGGAAGCCCTTTGCAACCTGGAGCTGCATCTTCACGATCCCCCTGGAAATGTCAGAGTCAGGAGTCAATGACCAATCTCTGAAAGTCCACAAACTCAGAGTGGGCATTGTAGGTTACAGAAACATGCAAAAACACCATAATGCCAGGAGACAGTTCCTCTGTAGCAAATGTAATTTAAAACAACTAATGTAGATATTTCTTAATATTTTATATTCATAGTTTACATTTTTATAAACATATATGTGACATGGGTTTGGTGGTTATGCTTCAGAGACAGAAAGTGATTGTGTGTGTTATGCCTTAAATACAGAATAAGAAGTTTTATATAGAGAATTATTTTCTTATATGAAATATAAGAAAATATAGAAATTAAGCAAATCAAGGGAGGTGGTGGGCTTATACATCAAATAATGTCCTTGTGTATCTGAGATTGTTTTCCTGCACTCTTATGAGAAGACACCAGGATAGACTCTGTTTTCACCTCTAGATCTGTGGGTAAAGGCCTAACAAATCCTTTCCCCTTCTGTGTGAAAAGTTAACCTTTAACTGTCTAGCTCCGTTCCTCTGGAAACCTGATGAAAATTAGATTGTCAACTACATTCCTAGACAATGTTGCCTATAGTAAAACTGATCCCTCGTTGCCAGATTCACATCAGGTTTGGAAAAAGTGGGAGACCTGTGAGAAGCCCTCACAGGGGCTTCCTTGGATGGTGGCTCCTGTCGCTGGCAAGACCCCTGCATGGCCCCCAAAGGCTGTGCTGTGGAGATAACAGCTCCTGGGGAGAACACGGTTTTCAAGTCAGGCCTGGACCTCTTCTGCTATCCCTAGTTTTCATCTCCTTGCACTCCAGCTGCATGGACAGCTGTGAGGACTCTCCCATGCCAGGAACACCCAACACTGCCCTGATGGCTGTGAGGACTCTTTCATAACCA